AACGAAGTACAAGTCAAGAGAGCAAAGGAACAGATTCTTAAAGCAGGAGTGCTTAAGGAAAGTGACAATGTAAGATCATTCTTAACTTTAAAGGCTCACATTCTGTGTCAGAAGCAGAGAGCCTCTCTTGGGGATCCCTCTCCTAAGCTAAAAATGGTATCTGTGCCAGAGTGTGTGTTGGGAGTGCCCTTGACCATGGCTAAGATTCTTTTGCCACAAATCAATTCTTTCCCTGGTTATATGAATAGTGAAGTTCCTGAGGAGCAAGCATTTCTTGAATGGTGCATAGACCTGAGGGAGGTGGCTGCTGCATAAATCCCTGGTGGGAATATTTGTCTGCACTACATCATTTGGGAAGAATTAAATGTGAGCAGGGAACAGAGAAAGTGACAAAAATTATTTAAGCGGTTGCAGTCCCAAAGAAGCTCAAACTTAACATGCAGACTGATTCACAGCTCCCTAAAATTGTCTGTAAAGGGAAGGACAGCTTCTGACGATAGTCAGTTGACTCTTAATCTAGCAGAAAGCATGACAAGATCCAAGGTCTAAGCAGTACAGCAAGACATTTAAACCAGAACGGAGGCATCGCCTCTTAGAGGTATAGATAGATAAATAGCTGTCAGGCCAGTGTGCCCATTGTGTGCCCCTAACTTGGGTTCAGAGGACTTTATAGATGAGCCTCAATGTCTTGAACAAAGGAAGGGCTTGATTAAAGAATTGCTGTGTGGCACTGTGGCTTCTGCTCTCTGGGTCAGACCAGGTGACCTACTGTCTTGGAACAATTTATTTAGCTGTTTTTTTACAGTGTTTAAAAGGAAGACCTGGGTGCAGCCAGGCAGGGTTTGGAGCCTTGCCTCATGCCGTGAGGGTGGGCAGTAGCTCTGCTGCCAGCCCTCACCTTCAGGAGAGCCATTCAAAAACTGGATGTGTTTTTTCTTCTCTCATAGAAGCATTGCTTTGAATGCAGAAGGATTATTTTTCTTCCCTTCTCTTCTCCTCCCTCCATTATGGAAGGATCCAGGAAATGTTTGTCTGATCTGCGATGGGATAGGAATCGGTTACCGAACTCTTCAACTGAACAGCAGCGAAAGGCTAGTCTGAGTGTTGCTGTTCCTGTGCTCAGCCCAGTGCTTGTCCAAGGTGCTCTCAAGCCTCTTACAGCAAACTTCTGCTTTCTACAACTCCGTAGACACTGGTTTCAGCCATCACAGAATTATTGCTTTGCCCCTGTTCTCTGCCTCATACATGTGCATGCAATTTCTCTCCCATTTCCAGTTTATCTTTTGGAAACAACCCCTTGATCGTCCTCTGTCAAATGGCTGTAAAGGGATGCTACTTGCTTGTTGAGAAGCTTTGGACTGCCTGGGAATCTGCTTCTGGCATTGCTGGTGAGATACTGAAGAAACCCAAATGGCGTCGTCTTTCCCACAGGAAATTGAGGCAGAGGAGTCTGCCAGTGGCTATAGTCTTAATTTTTCCGTATTGTAATGAACTTGATGAGAGCAGGTGCTTATTCATGCGGCTGCTGGCTAGTATGTTAGCCGCTGTTTCATTTTACACATCGTAGTGGCAGGGGGTAATAGAGGAGCTGCTGCTACACTCTGATTTTGGGCAGTGGTGGCAGAGCAATTTTTGTTGGGTTTGTCCCCCATGCTTCTCACCCTTCAGCTGACGTGCAGCTGAGATGGCATATCTCTCACCCTGACAAATAGGAACAGTGTCTTCCTGCACGATCAAGGATTCAGGCGCTTGCAAGGCTTTAAACTACAGTTTGATTTTTAAATTTTTTAACTGTAAATGTTAATGAGGAAACTGTTGGAAGATCTCGAATGATTTGCAGGTTTTATTTCTCTGATTCCCTACTATGTAAATTAAAACGTTCAGCTATTGGACAGGTGTATGTTAATTTGAGGTGTCAAACTCCATCATGTGCCTTTCCAGCAGTAATGAGCGTTCTGTGGCTGCAGCTTGGTTAGCAATCAAGTTTATTTTGTATATAAAATTGATAATGTATTTTCTCTGACACAGTGCTTAGCTTTAGAAGACTGAGAGCCAAAAAAGTCAAACAATTTGGTAGAGCCCAAATTAACTTAATAACTGAAGATTAGATCTGTGCAGTAAACAGTCACTTTTACATGGTTGCCCTTCTGGTTATAACAGTATTTAAGAATCTTGCTACTATGGAAGTATGATCAGAATGAGATTGAATTTCTGGTAGAAGATTTAAATGGAATTTAGAAACAAAAACTCGAAACGAAGATCATTGGAAACTCATTGGAAAAATTTAAAGGAAAAACCCAAACTTTCAAAATTCCTTACTATAGGTGCTCTGGAATAGTTGACACTTTACAGAGTTTGTGTTTACACACGGTGGTTAGAAATGGTACTGGATCAGCTATTGCCTTTACATTTTTTTTTTTTTTTTCAGTGCCATACCAGTGCTATGTAACTGATGAAAAGCATGCCAGGTTTTTTCCCCAACCTTTAAGCTGAAAACTGTAGGCTGTAGACCACTACTGTTATGACGCCTAGATATGCTGAGACCTGGTCAGGTATCATGGTGAGAGGTAGCACCTCTCAACATGCAGACGTTCAGGAAAGCCAACTGCAGTGATTTTTGAGGCTTCTGAAGTGTCCATTCTTCATGGGTAGCTGTTTGGCCTTTAGGATAAGAGCTGAGATTTTATTGCTGCTATTATCCATAGTAAGTCCTTTGGTGCTGTAGTAGAACATGTGGTTGTTGTGGAAGTGCTGTCAATCTGAGATTACTTTTTTTTTTAATGGTGGCAGGGGGAAGAAAGGGTCATGGGATACCAGTCCAAGGAAGACCAGCATCCATTAGCTTAGTTATTTACAAAATTACTTTGCTTTTATGGATGTAATGTGCTTGGCTTGCATAAATGAGTATATGTAATTGGTAGCTTTCCATTGCGATGTGTTGCTTTACATGCTCTTAGTTAATACATCTATCCTAAATTTGTGTCAGTACATTTTTTGGATGACTCTGCCATGTATTTTGTTATTTTCTGAAGGCTTGGCTGAAGGACTATCAAGTCACTAACACTTGAACTTTTTAAATGCTGGGTACACTGGGGTTTTTTTCTGTAACATAACATAGAATGGTCTTGCCTTTTGAATTCAAGACTCTATTCTGGAATTTTGCTTCATCTCAGGGTAAGATTTTTACAATTAATGCTCAGATGTAAGGACAGCTTCTTGTGTTGTTGGGAATGCAATAATGTGTGTGTGATCAGGAAAGATAAATGTTAAACACAAACCCAAGCAGTTCCATCACACTTGTTTAGAATGTGCAATTGATTGGATTGAGCAATAAGAACTATTTTGCAACTTGATTATTGCTAAGTATATTCATAGTGCTTTTGAGTAATTTGCAATCAATTGTATGGTATATTGAGAGAATAAAAATGGAAGTGTGCAGATATTGGTGACAGTGACTTTAGCAACTCGGGTACATGAGATTATTGTTGATTTTGGCTGCTAAAAGTGAATTTGCTTGAGGCAAAATGATCACTTTGCACTTTAGTAAACCCCAAGATAAACACGTGGTAGTGTGTTATAATTGCTCTTAGATCATGTTTTATGTGATACTCAAAGCCTTTTTAAAAGACTGTTGTTAAGTCTCTGAACAAACCCTGATACCTTAGGGAATCAGAGCCAGCTGTCAGCAAGGGGGAATGACTGTTCTAGCTCTGAAGGAACCCTAATGAAGGGCACAAACACCCCATCACTCTTCTGTGTGGAAAGGACTGGAATGGGAAATCAGCTTCAATGAACTTGCTTGGGGAAAAAAGAGAAAATGGACAGAAATCAAATTTACAAGTAAAAATAAAAAGGCAGTTTCTGAAGTGATCTCATGTCATGGTTTTTTTTTTTTCAGAAATGTATTGAAAAAGACATCTCTAGCTTATAGTAATGTAGGCATTTCTATACCATTTCAGGGTGCTGGAAGTACTGATGTGCCTACTCAACCGCAACTGAAAGTGTGACTAGAATCCTAGAAAGAATTTTGGAAACTGCTAGTGTTTACACAGATGCCTGTATGATGATGATGATTTACTTGTGTCTCAAGGGAAGCAAAAAAGGCATCCTGAATTTCATCCAAATGCTTGATCACTCTGTGAAAGCCAAGGCAAAGGCTATAATTAGATTTATTAAGCTGGATGAAACTATAGTGCCATTGAACTAATGTCTGCATAGGTGTTACTAAGAGCAGCCTGCTAGATTGGGATTTATCTATTCTCACTTTAGAGGTCTACATCTGAACTATTCTGGTCATTCTGGTGTCCTTCTGTGGTGAAGTAACTGGCCAACTCTAGATGTTCAGTTCAGATGAATCTTATCCTGTCTACCTTTTGGCTCATTAGAGCCTTCATCAAATGTTCTTAATTCCTTGTCAATACATGAAGAGCAAGCGTGTTGGATCTTGCTCCTACTGCCTAGGTTGACATAGTAACAGGAGAGAGCTTAAATCTATCTGGAGAGGGTTTGTTAACATACCAAGTCAGTGTTGCATTTTTCCAGCCACGTTTACTGAACAAAATACTCTCAAAATGCCTGCAGAACACTGTTCTCAAGCAGTGGCTGTGGAATTGGGCCAGGGTGGCCTTTCCTCATGCTAGCTGGGATGCAGTGGGACAACTATTTAATGGTAAATAGTAAATGGGATTTAGCAGAGAGTGGAATGAGCTGAAACAACTGCTGCATCCCCAAACTGAAATGTTCTCAGCTGACTACTTGTAATTTCTTTTGCCTCCTGAATTGCAGCTAAAGGAGTTGGAGAAATAACCTTTCTTTGGGGAGGGAGGTGAGAGGAGAAAGAAAAGATAATGATATCAGGGATACTCTTCTGTGTGACCTCCTTGCTCTGGAGCATGTTTTATGCATCTGGGTTGGGATTTCCACTAAGATGCTGGATTATAATAAAAGTGGTGGGTGGTAGAGTGAGAAATGAAATTCCTGCTCTTTGTTTTATCAAACAGGTGCAGTGCCATACCTACACTGGATACTGCTGGTGTGTGACACCTGATGGCAAGCCTATTAGCGGCTCTTCTGTACAGAACAAAACTCCTGTATGTTCAGGTACTGTGGGAGTGGCTTCAGCAAATAATAATTTGATAACCGAAGGGGGTTGGGGAGAATATGACCTGTTCAGAGTACTTAATCTTTTCAGGTGACTTTGCCAGTTTACCCGATTTAACACTGCAGTTGTGCTTCTATCTCCCTGCGTGCTTCCTGGCATTTGGGAGCTGCAAGGGAGCTTGGACTGTGGCATGTCCACCCTGCAGTTACTGACACTCCTGCAAGGCTCACTGAGAAAAACCACTAAGGTAGCGGCCTGTGGTGGCCAAGGCAAGAGTTGCAGTGTTGCTGTGTACACCAAAACCAGAGATTCCTGTAATGGATGGGATAACTTTTTTCCGTGAGCTGTATTTTAAAGAAGTGGTTCTTGGGTTGTATTGAGTGGACCATGGAGTCATTTTGCCTGCAGAGTGACGTCAGTTAAAAGTTTGATAAGGTGGTTCTGTGAGAAACTGGTAGTTGTTGACTACTAGCTCCCAAATCTGGGGTCCTGCTGTTATAATGGATTCTGGGCTCTCAGCCTGACACTGCTCTGTCGCCCTATGGTTTACTGGGCCAAAATCCATCATTTTCTGTGCTTAAAACAGAGTGATGTTTGGTTTTTTCTCTCCACCATTCAGTCTGGCAGCCCATGGTTCAAATGGAATGAGGTTGGGCTCTAGATTTTTCATATGGCCCTGCAGTGTTTGCCCTTCAGAAGTGAGCACAACAGCAGTCAAACTTTTGTGTTTTTTTAATCCTTCTCACTTTATTCAGTGTCCTCTTGGCTGTAGGGTGCTTTGTGGTGGTAAGTAAATGTAGTGACTTGCATGAGGGTTTAAGCTGAGAGGGAGAACTGTCTGGTAACCAGTGAGTCAATGTAGCTTGAGGGGATACTTGGTGTTTCACAGGTACACAGAAAGAAAATAAGATTAGTATCCTGTTTTTGTGTAAGGTGAAATGCTACAGTAATTTGCCTTAAACCTCAGAATGTGACTTTCTTCCACCGTTCCCAGTATATGGTTTTGGTAGGGCACGTTTTAGCTTTGTTGATCTGTTCATTTAGTCTTGAGCTGTTTATAAAATGTGTTACCAGGAAAGTAAACTCATGGTGTATTATAGAACACACAAAAGTTAGGCCTGTGATGACTAATATTTGGTATGTGCTTCCTACCTGTAATACAGCAGTAGATTTGAGATGAACTGATCTGCAAGTGAAAGTGCCTGGGCAATAGAGTTTATGTTTAGAGTTTGTCTTAACCAGACTCTTCAGCCTGTCAGAGCTGCCACCTTTGAAGGCGACTTTTGATCCATGTTTCCTGAAGGATCAGTAATCACTGAAACTGTTTAGTAATGGCGCACAGAATAATCAGTTTCCTGGCAGTAAAGCTATTCCAAAAAAAAAGGCAAAAAGCTCATCATAAATCTTTATATACTTTGATGATGGATTTGTTCAAAAAGCTTTTATTATCAGTTCACGTTTTAGTGGAAAGCTGTATGTGAAGCACTAAAGCAAACAGCAGAAACAAGTGTAGAATTGTATTATATATTATATGAAGATCTAAGTTATATTAAAAAAACCCAAGATGTGTTCTATTCAAGCACATGCCGAATCTTATTCAGTGTCCCTTTTCAAACAGCTGGGGATGTTCAGGGGTTGGTTGAAATCCATTTTCTGCAAATTGTCCCACTTAATCCCTTTCCTTTAGAATACTGCCCCTTGCATTCCCTGCACACTCTCCCCACCTGTTTTTGATTTGTTCTTCCTGACATTTGCCAAACGAAAGAAGTGACTCTTATTGATCTTTCTTTCTTGCCCTTGGATTTATTCCAGGTTTCTTACTAGCATGCTGCTCTGTTGAGCTCTTTCAAATCACTGGATCCAGCTACTAAAGATTTCTTGTTTACCCACATCCTGATTTAACATCTTAATGCATAAAACTCTCTTACGCTGTCCCAGTTGGTTGAAGCCACAGGCTCTCTGAATCCTAAACTGAGCCGTTGGCAAGTAAAACAGGCACTTTGTGGGTTGAGATAGTGACTGTATTAATGTGACATTACATGTTCTGTGTGATCATGCAGCATCTAAATAGATGGTTTTTTTCTTTCTTTTTCCTGCCCTTTAGGTTCTGTAACTGATAAACCATCAAGCCAGGGTAATTCGGGAAGGAAAGGTGAGTGGAGTCCTGTGCTTCAAGCAACTTGTTTTGTAATAGCAGCTGCCTAGCCAAGTCCCTTGAGATAACTCAGAACCTGGGTTCCTAACCAGCTTGGTGTGTGGGAGGCTTATGTACCTTTAGACACCCCCTGCCCTCCCTTCAGTAGGAGGAATAAGATGAGAGTCCGTTTGTGCACTGCTCTGTGGAGTAGAAAATGGTGTGCTCTGCTCTGTGCTCGTCAGCTGAGATGTAGTACACGAAAGCAGAGCTTCCCAAAGGGGCAGCTGGCACAGAATAACCTCTGCTTTTTCACCTTGAAGTTAACTACTGAGCATTTCTCAGTAAAACCCCTAGAGGTTAGGAAGGCTATCAATATGACTAGTACACTGGGAGGCAGGAGTGCCAATGTCATGGTTGTGGCTTTATATGTATTGAAAGTTTTTTTTAACAGAGCATAAAACCCTCTGGCCAGCTGGAGCAGCGCTGGATTAAACCCTAGCTGTGCTTGGAAACCTCACTCTTCTGCATTAGGCATTGGTGGTCCTTCTTCTTTACACTCCTTTCTTCAGTCCTTGCCTTCCCTCAGCAAGGCACTAGATGTGTCATCGTTCTCCTGTGTGTATTTGTAGCCCTTCTCTGTGTCCTCTGATTTGCATTCATTGAAATAGTCTTGGGAGGGGTGACCACTGAAATATACGTTGATGAGCAGTCAAGTCTCTTTAGGCCTTCTGCACACCCTGATTTTTCAACCCTTCTCCCCTCTACCCCCCATTCAGAATCAACTTTTGAGTTTGTCTCCTTATTACAGGAAAATAGTGGTGAATGCATCCTCACTGCTGCTGGTGAGGATGAAGGCTGTTTCCTGGGAGGAGTTCCTGTTTTGATATCTGAAGCAGAATTTTTACTGCTAACTCTGTAAATCAATTATTCGTGATACTTCAAAACACAGGAAGATGCCTACCTTGATGCCAACACTTTAATTTGAAGAACGTCATCCACAGTGGGACTGTCAATGCAGTCCTGAAAACACTTAAAGGGAATTAGATTGCTATGTTCAGAGCAGTGATGCATTTTGAGCATATCTGCTCTCCAGTCTGTTGGTTTTGTATAGTAGCTTAGGGAAAAGGTAGGGAGAAGGAAGATGCAAGTAAAACTACTCAGGACTGAGTGCTGAAGTCTGCTTCTTATTTTAGATAAGGGTACGTCTCTGTAAATCTGTAATTACATGTTAATGTATAATTGGCACCTGAACACATTGTTATCATTCTGTTAGTGCAATCGTTGCTAGTCTAGCCTGAAGTACAAGCAAATCAAGTAGCTCTTGAAATCTGCATTATTTTTGAGTGTGGGTTGTTCGTAGGCTTCCTACCTGAGTAGTCCTGGTCTGTTGTTCTAGAATTGGAAACAGCTGACACTGGTTTTCATAAGAAACAGGAGCAAAAGGGGAAAACATCTGAACTTGTTTTTCCCGCTTCACCCACTTTGTTAACTCAGAGGTTGGAACATGAAAAAAAAAGAGAACTGTAAATGGTATGAATTAATCTGAAATTTGTAACATAAATTGATTCTACTTGGTGCTGCATGTGGCATCCTGTTTCAAGAACGGTACGTTTGGTCATGTGGCTGAAGAAACATCCTATGCAGTAGCTGCCAAGAAAAGGAAAATGTTTCCTTTTGGGCCAGCACGCTTCAAGCAATGATATAAACTTTCTGTCCCTTCTAACTCTGAATCTATTCATATCTGTTAGAAGCCCCTACACAAGCCACTTTGGCCTTCCTCAGTCATGTTGGAAAAATATTTGTGGGCAATTATTAGTAAGTCTTTTAAAACCAAGAGGGCTTTTGGAAGCTGAAATGATTTGGTTTAAAATTTGATGGATTTAGCATTACTTTTTTGGCTAGCAATGAATGCCTAATCTTAAAAATGAATTTGGCTTTCTTATCAGTGTTTTTTCTTTACTTAAGTTACCTTGATTCAAAATTCCACTATTGGGTCCTGTTGTAAGGATGCTGGAACCAAGAACAGCCTGGCTTCCCTGAAGCGAGGTGGTTGCTGGAGGTCTGGCTTCTCTGAAGACTGGTAGCTAGCCAGCATGCATATAACCATCCATTCTAGCTGAGTGTTCAGACTTTCTGTAAAGATTGCTCTTTGCAAGAAGACACAAAGGGGCAGGATGAGGAGGAGTCCAGCAGGAACTGTGTTAGTGATGACCTTTCTGTTGTAGAGGCACATCTTGGAAACTTCTGACATCACTTTGGACAACTGCCATCTGACTCAGGAGCTTTTTGGACTTTTCCCACTGCACAGCAGTCTCCTCTCTCCATCCCTGGATGAGGGTCTCTGAGTCAAAGAGCATTATCTGGCACAGAACAGGCACTCTCAGGAGGAAAAGGAATAGCTGAGACTCTCAAAAGTGATTTCTTTTGTCCTATTCTCATACAGGAATGTAAAATATGGAACTAATAAACTTTGTGTGATGCTGTTGCCTTTCAAGTCTTTGGGGCAAAGTATTTTTTTGGATGGAGGTTGCTCTGCCTTAGAAACACTGCAGATGAGTAGGTTTAAGCTGTTGGGTAATAAATGAAAAGAAGACTTTACTAGCATATTAGCTCTCCTTTAGAAGAGAAGAATTAAGGTTGGAAGGAGGAAAGGGCTGGTTATCAGTAATAACTCTTTCAAAATGTTTTGGCCTCTTTTCCATCCTGTTTAGCCCTAATTTCTGGGGGTCAGTAGGTAAGATGGAGTCACCAGGAGATGTGAGATCACATGTGATTTCATTCACAGGCTCTCTCACTACTGATGAAAAGAAAATGAAATGGATTTATTGTCACGTGGCTTGGCATGTAGTTCCAGAAGTGGCTCAGTGGAGCTTTCTACAAGAAATCCTTTTTATTTTTAAATCCCATGCTCTGGTTGCCCATGTTTACATTGCTGCTATTGCTGTATGATGCAATGCCAGTTACTCATATGATTTGCCCTGTAGGGTAATTTAAATCAAATTAAATTGGCACCAAACTTAAAACTTTAAAATAGAACATATTGATTTGTTCTGTGTCTGAGAAGTGCTCTGTTGCTGGAAGGCAGAGCAGACCTGTGCCTGGGGAGATGGAGGCAGGTTTGTATGAGGTGGAATGGAAACCTGGGTTCTCCAGGACATGCTCAGTGTGCAGACTTTGCAGCTCAGACATTTACCACTGTTCTTTCTATGCTGAATTCAGCCTGCAGGTGAAGAAAAAGTTTCCAGGGCCTTTGTCAGGGAATGCAGTTATTCTTGGGTGGGATTAGGGTATCCAGAACCTGCAGATTTCTGTTGCTGTCTGTTCCTTATTCCGTCTTGTTCCTTGTACAATCCTTTTTCATAAGGAGCTTCTTGCACTAATTTACTCCAGTTGCTGCTTAGTTTGAAAGGATTGAGAGACTTGGAAGATGCATGCTGTCCCCTAGAGGGCTGGATCTCCCCCCCCTCTCTCCCACTGGGAGGTTGTTAATGTTTTAAGAATGAGTGAAAGACATCCTTGGAGCCAACATGACTGGATTTCTTCCCTGCCTAAAGAATGCAGAATGTTCCTTTCCAGGCAAAGCGAAATTGTGCCACACGTTTGAAACAAAACAAGCAAACACAAAACAAAACATTATTTTCTTTATGTGAGGAATGCTGGGGCTTTAGGAGCTCAAAGCTACAGATTTGGCATATTGCAGCTATGAGTAGTGTCTTTTGCAGTCACCAAGCAGGGTTTAAAAAGTAGGTTGGTCAGGAGACAGAGAGCCATGTCATTGCTTGTCTTCATAAAGTCACTTGGTCTTCCTTCTTAAACCGAGTGAATTAAAAGTGAGAGGTTGAAAATGAGTGAAGAAAAATATCTAAGCGGGGATACTGGTTTGCTGGTGGATAACCGTTCTGGACACTTGAGAGGTGGTGTGCCATTTTTAAATCAACTGAATGAAGGAAATGGGAAGGGAGGCTTGGTTCTATAACCTGGGATTAAAAGTTGATGCAAGTACAGGGTAAATATGGGCTGGATAAACTGTCAGTGTCAGTCATGAGCAGTCTTGAGTGGTATGAACTCCCTTTTTTTTTCATAAAGTCTCGTGCACTGCATAAAGTTCCAGGCCTGTTTTGACTTGCTTTGTTTCCCTATTGCAAAAGCTGGCAATAGCATCTGCAATTCCTTGAACCTGGGGCAGGTACAGTGATGGTGAAATGTAAGCTCTGCTGGTCCCACAGAAGGCAAAGCCTGGGCTGAGCTCGTCTTACGCTTGCTATCTTACATGTAGACATGACTCTTGTATGGAGTTGCGAAAAGCTTTGCCCCAATGAGTCTGCAGCCTACAAGAAAACACTGAAGCAATTTGAGGAACCTAAGATGAACAACGTAAAATTCCTGTCAATTAAACACCTAGAATTGGGTTCCTTTTTGTGGGTTTAACTGTGAGAAATGGGCTTGAAGGCAGGCTTCATTGCAGGGAAATTCTCCACTGCAGTTGTGGGCAAGTTGGCCCATTCTGTGGCTCTCTTCCTGCTGGTTTCCAAGAGTCTTACCTTTAGAAAATGTTAATGGCCTAGTTGTGCAGTCAGTAGACTGAGCAATTTGAATCAGTAATGAGCCATTAGTCTGAGTCAGTAATTAGACTGAGCAGTAAGGGGTGAATGCTCTCCTCAGGCAAACCCAAGTGGAGAACGACTTGTGCTGATGTAAATAAATGGAACTGTTTGTGCATGGAGACCTGGAAGCTTTGTCTGCTGGTGGTAAGAAGTCAGGTGCAGCTGGCACTAATTCACCTGCTGCCTGCTCGCAGGGAGGGGAGCACGCTGCCTCCACAGTGGTTAGTACGTCTCGGAAGACAGGTAATACCTTGACAAAAACATCAAGTTGAAATGTGACCAAAACCCTAGACTGGGACTTTGGTCTTTACCTTCTCCAGTTCTTTCTGGATTCAGCCAGGTACTGATCAAATCTGAAACAGAGCTGTGCTGTTACACAAGCCAAGCTTCAAGTGTCCAATTATTCCTGCC